CTCCCCAGCATCGCGCTGTGTGCAGTGTCCCTGTGCATGACTAAATAGGCAGCAGTTTCACTCCGCAGGAGCTGAGCTGTTCGAGCATCCCGGAGATGCTGTGGAATTCCTGCCAGACATCCCTCACAGGCCCCCACTCTGGGGAATCCCAGGATCACTGATGTGAAAAATGCTTATTTTATGATTGGCTTTTCGCAAATGTTACAATAAATATCATATGTGTAATGTTAGAAAGTTGTGCTATATTAATTCTCTGAAGTAATATATTAAATATAGTTTTAAAATAGAAACTATATATGTAAAGAGTTTTTTAAGAATAAAGTACACGCTTCAAAGAACACCTAAATCTTCAAAAGAAGAAAAATTTATGATTTTCGTATCAAAAAAACACTAATTTCTTCAAACCTTACTCAAACTCAAAGTGCCATAAAGATTAAAAGAAACAATTGACATACAACAAATGAAGTTTCTTTTTTTAAATAAAATCTATACATAACCATAAAAATATATAAGTATACATCAGTATATTAACAAACTATATTTTTCATAACTTAATATCCAAAAACATTCAAACATCCATAATTCTTTACTTTTTATTATCTTATAATTATCCTAACTCTAAATTTTATTACTCTAATTACATCACTATTTTTATAACTGTTTTATTATTATTAAACTTTAAAAATTTTAAAAACCAAATAATTAACGTTTTTCACAACTGAGGTTGGAAAAGCCCTCCCAGATCATCGAGTCCAACCTGTGACTGATCCCCACCTTGTCCCCCAGGGGTGCCTTGGACACTCCACCACCTCCCTGGGCAGCCCCGGTGTTGGATGAGCTTTTTTTGGGAGCACGTACCAGTTCTTGTAGAAGCGCCGCCGGCACTCGTCGCTGATGTGCTCGGCAAAAACAGTCTTGAAATTCCTCAAGCCCTTGGGTGTCTCGATGTAGCCCACGACCCCCACCACCACCATCGGCGGGGTCTCGATGATGGTCACGGCCTCCACCTCCTCCCGCTTGGAGATCTCTGCAGGGCAGCAAAGGGACGTGGTGCTCACCCTGTGGGGATCCAGAGCTTCCCTCTGGCTGCCCTGGGACCCTGCAGGGGTCAGGAACCCATGGACAGAGATCACAGACAGGCTCTACAGAGCCCCCAGAGACACTGGCTGTGATCTCTGCCCATGGAAAAGAGTTTTCAATCTTAGGATGAATTACCAGCTCTGAGGGTTTGATATCAGTAATAATTAAGTGTGGCACGGGTGCAAAAGTAAAATTTTAGGATTCTAGATGAGGGGTCCAAAGGAACAAGCTGGAGGAAATTGGGTGTGCCTTGTCCTTTTTCTCCTTCTTCATGCCCTCCATGTTTCACTGTGGTGTTGGCATTTTTCTGTTGGTTCAGGCTGGGGACACACTGTCCAACGTAGGTGACAGATATTGGCACGTTATTGTAAATCCAGCCCAGGGAGTTTCTGGTATTTAATGTTTGTCACATCCCACTGAGGGCAGAGCCCCACACGCTGCCCTGCAGGACAGAGCTGGGCAGGGCAGCAGAACATGTGAGAGATAAACAGAATAAACAACCTGGAAACAGCAGACACCAATTATGGCTTCTGCTTTGGCAACGGGGCAGAAAAACAGAGACTTTCTACAATCTCAGAATCATCAATACCTCAGATTCTGACACAGCATCATCTGGGATCATTCCCTGCAGGATTCCCACTGCCACAGAGAGCGCTGGGGGCAAGGCCAACGTTTGATCTCAGCCAGCCCCAGCCTTCCCACCTCCCAAACCACCACCCACCACCCCAGCATGCAGAGTTCCACACTAGCCCATGCCGAGCTGGCCTTTGACCATCCAAGGTGTGCACAGCCAGGATTTAACCTAGAACCATGGGCTCCACCACCCCTTGCCCAAGGAGCCTATTCCCCCCTCGCCCTCGTGGACGTGGCCCCTGCAAGCCAAGCCTTACTGAGCCCGGGCCGGTGCACCTCGCGCACGGTGTGGGTCATGCCAGCCTTGTAGCCCAGGAAAGCTGTCAGGTGGACTGGTTTGCTGGGGTCATCCTTGGGCCAGGCCTTCACCTTGCCCCGGTGCCGGCGGCTCCGCTTGTGGGGCAGGAAGCCCAGGTGGCCGTGCCTGGGAGCGGAGAACTTGCGGTGGGACTGCGGAGGGGAAGCACAAAATGGGGAGAAGGGAAAGATGACAAAAACACAACAAAAAATCCTTCCCCCCTTCAGATGGGAATGTCACAGAGATTCCGGGCTCTTCCCTGAGTTGTAACAGGGCAGGATTTTGGTCAAACTTTTGTCATGTACATGGAGAAAAGGCATAGAATAGTGGAATGGTTTGGGGTGGAAGGGATCTTAGAGCCCATCCAGTGCCACCCTGCCATGGCAGGGACACCTCCCACTGTCCCAGGCTGCTCCAAACCCTGTCCAGCCTGGCCTTGGGCACTGCCAGGGATCCAGGAAGAGCCACAGCTTCTCTGGGCACCCTGTGACAGGGCCTGCCCACCCTCACCAGGAAAACATTTCTTCCTAGCACCCATTCTAAATCTACTCTCTGCCAGTGTGAACTTACTAAATTTCTGGACAAATGATGCCACTTAAATAAAAAATTTCACATAATCTCCCCCCTTCAGCTTCTTCTGAAGGATTTTGAAGAAGTACATTCTTTACTACATCTGTTCTTCTGTGCTCTTAATTATAACAATTTATTTTGTATCCTGTAGCACCAAAAAGGCCTGCATGGAATTCCTGGGCTTGATGTCATGGAGGCAAATGGCACAAAACAAGCACATCCAAGGATCGGAAAAACAGGGGAAAGGATGCCCAAATAACAGGAGCATGCACAGGTTCTAAAGGCAACTTGAAAGCCAGATGAGAAGAGATAAACACATAAACCTCAACCACAAGCAGCAAAGGGTTAGTCCTGCACCCCACTGCAGCTCCTTCCTAGCTCAGATCGGTCCCAGCGCCCGGCTGCGCTTTCCACCAAGCTCCTTTTCCAGCCTGAGTGGAACTCTGAGGGTTCTGACCCCATCGCTGGCACCACCAGGAGCACAACCCAGCCCTGCTCGCCGACCCTCGCACACAAGCAGCTCCAGCAGAGCTGTACCGACCATGGGACGTCTTCAGCCCGGGGCAGCAGCAGAGAGAGGCTGCCAGGGAGTGCCTCCCCAGAGTAATACTTAAGATGGGTATGGGTCTGAAGACACAAATTTAGCCACTCGCTTCACCCGCTGCGATATTCATTTCATTCCTGGCAGGTTGGACACGACAGTTGTGGTGTGATAAAAGGTCACTTGCTGCTGGCTCAGTTTACGCTTCTCCCTCCTGAACAGCTCTAATGTGAAAGGCAGGAATTAGGGCAGTTTTCCGAATTAGGGCAGTTTCCAAAAGGGTATCACACACCCAGAGATGTGAACACCTGCACCAGGTACCCCCAGCACAGGCTGAGAGTCTCTCTGTCAGCCCAGGACTGTGATCCTGACTGGAAAAGAGATGGAGGCAATACATCTCGGAATCTAATGTGAATGGCAGGAATTAGGGCAGTTTTCCGAATTAGGGCAGTTTCCAAAAGGGTATCACACACCCAGAGATGTGAACACCTGCACCAGGTACCCCCAGCACAGGCTGAGAATCGCTCTGTCAGTGTCTGTGGGGTTTTTTTAAAGGAATGAGATTCTCACTTAGAGATTAGAGTCACAGAGCATGTAAATCTTCCAAAGAAGAATTTATGGTTTTCTTATCAGAAGAAGCTAATTTCTTCAGGCCTTGCTCGAACTCTAAGATACCGTGGGGATTAAAAGAAGCAGTTGAAATATAACAGCTTCTTGTTTTAAATAGAATATATGCATAGCCATGAAGTATGTATGAATATGCAACAGTGTGTTGTTTTAAAGGTTATTCCTTTGTTCACAAGGCATGATGCCAGGGCTTAAATGCCCGAGAACATCTGGACCTCCGTAATTCTTTGCCTTTTATTGTCTTGTAATTGTCCTAACCCTAAATTTTTATTACTTTAATTGTACTACTATTTTCATAACAATTTTATTATCATCAAATTTTTAAAATTTTATAAAAACCAGGCGCTTTTCACAAGCAGGGAAGGGACAGTCAGGACAAGATGCGGTTTCTCCAACCCGCCCCATGGCGGGCTCCCCTCACGGCGGAGGGACTACAACTCCCGGCGTGCCCCGGGGCCGCCGCCGGATTCCCGCGCTGACACCGCCCTCAGGGGCCGCCGCCATCTTCCCGGAGAAGGTACTACAACTCCCGGCGTGCCCCGGGGCCGCCGCCGGATTCCCGCGCTGACACCGCCCTCAGGGGCCGCCGCCATCTTCCTGGAGGAGGGACTACAACTCCCGACGTGCCCCGGGGCCGCCGCCGGGTTCCCGGGCTCCCGGTCCCCTCAGGGGCCGCCGCCATCTTCCCCCGCCGCCGCCGCCATGCCGGAGGATCACGACTGGGAGGCGTACAAGGTGCCGCCGACCCGCACCCCCGTCTCCGAGAGGGCAACGTCGGTGCCCAATCCCATCGATTACTTCCAGACCGCCTTCCACTATGTCCTCGACGCGCCCGTCACCTTCATCCGAGGTACCGGCGGGGTGAGATAACCTCCGTCCCACCCGCGGCTCCCTCCCACCCGCGGCTGCCGCCCTGTGGGAGTTGAGCGGGGACGGGGACACCGGGCTGGGCACACCGGGGCTCGGGGCAAAGGCGTGAGGACACGGGCATCTGGGCAGGCAGAGGGCACGCACAAGGATACAGCGACACCGGTGCTGACAGCGACAGCACGGGCAGAGGGACGGGACAGGGGGACAGAGGGACACTGGGACAGAGGGACACTGGGACAGAGGGACACTGGGACGAGAGACACTGGGACGAGAGACACTGGGACAGAGGGACACTGGGACAGAGGGACACTGGTCCTGACAGCGATAGCACGGGCAGAGGGACGGGACACTGGGACAAACGAACATGGCACATTGACCACAACACAGCATGGACATAGGGACATAGACACAGGGACATGAGACACAACATGTAGACGGGCAGACATGGACAGGGGACACACAGAACACAGCACGGACACAGGGATTCCCACTGCCACAGAGAGATGGGACACACAGAACACAGACAGGAACACAGCTTGGATAGTAGGACCGACACAGGGACATGGGACACTGCACAGACACGGGACACAGACAAGAACACAGTATTGGTAGTGGGACAGAGACATGAGGCAGCACGGACAGATACGGGGACATCAGGACACAGCTCAAACACTGACACATACAGGGACAGTTCAGACACTGGCAGAGGTGCAGGGGACGCAGGGACACAGTAGCAGTGTGGACAGGACATGGGGCACAGCACAGAGCAGCAGGCACACAGATGGGCATGAGCCGGGCACAGTGTGGACCCACTGCTGCTGCCAGGGAAGGTGGCACCGGGCAGTGCCAGCGCTCAGAGCTGGGCTGGGCTGTGTGACCGGGCTGTCCCTGCAGGCTGGATCGAGCGGTGGCAGAACAAGGACAAGTTCTACTACTACCACCAGAAGTTCCGCCGTGTGCCTGACCTGAGCCAGTGCCTGGAGGGTGACTACCTGTGCTACTACGAGGCCGAGGCGCAGTGGAGGAGGGACAGGTATGGCCGCCCCTGGACTGTCCCCAGGCGAGGCCACAGCAGAGCACACAGCTCTGGGACCTGCAGCGTTTTGGTGGATGCTGGGGTGCTGAGGCAGCACCTCCAGCCCTCCCCATTAAACATAGTGTCCTGCTGTCCCTGCAGCACATCTGGGCATGGTGGCATTAGGGACCAGGACGCCGACAAACCCAGAGCTGACGTGCCACAGGGTGCCCTCACCCCTGGGTTCAGCTTTTCTGTTGTCTCGTGGCTGCTGTTCCATCCCTCGCCATCTTTCCTGCAGGATGGTTGATCAGGAAATCGTGGAAATAATCCGGGAAAGGATGGCTGCGTGCAAGCAGAGGGAAGGGCCAAACCAGTTCCAGAACTGTGCCAAGGAGATGGAGCTGCTGGCACAGGTCACCAAGGCCTACCAGGACAGATGTGAGTGTGGCAGCAGCACACAGGGCAAGGGCTCCAAAGCCAGGGAAGGGGCTCTGAAACACACAGGGCTTGTGTGAGGCACTGCTCAGGCATCTCCTGTCTTTTCCAGACGGTGATCTGGGTTACCATGGCAATGCACGGACATGCCTGATGAAGCAGAAGCACAGGATGATGGAGGAGAGGAAAGCAGCACAAGAAAATCAGTAAAGCTACAACAGTTCCTCTCTCCATGGTGCTGGTAGCCCAGTGCATGCTGCTTCCTTAGCCTGCACAATAAACAGACATCTGTACAGCTGGGCTCTGTATTCATTCTTTGCAGAGCTCTGCAAGCCCTCAGCTCCACGCACACTGTTGGAGCTTGCCCTCTGGACCTTTTCCTTTCCTCCATGAGCCTCCAGAACATTCCATGTGCTGCTCTGCCCTGGCTCTGAATTCCCTCAGTCCCAGTAAAGGCCAGGCTGGACAGAGCTCAGAGCAGCATTCAGTGGAACGTGTCCCATGGCAGGAGCTGGAATTGGGTGAGCTTCCAGGTCCTTTCCAACCGCCCCACTCCATGGTCTAACCCAGCTGCCCACAGCACCAACCCCCGTCACACCAAGCACCGATGATTCCTGGTTCTCTGATCACTTTATTTCCTACAAAGCCCGTTAGGTGGTGGCCACAGCGGCTGCCTGGGTCCTCTGCACCGACACTCTCGTGTGGGTCTTGGCCAAATGATCGGTGAACTCCTGCAAAAAACACAACAGGTTATTCCCTCAAACCCCTCAAGGGTTCCTCAGCACCACTGCCAAAAACACCAACAGATTATTCCCTCAAACCCCTCACGGGTTCCTCAGCACCACTGCCAAAAACACCAACAGGTTATTCCCTCAAACCCCTCACAGGTTCCTCAGCACCAGTTCCATCCCTAGTGTATACTGGGGCTGGGTGGCTCAACTTTATACCTACCAACCCTTTGGGTACAGAAATCTAAATTTTAGGGGCGAGAAGGTTTGAGCTGTGAGTTACCAAAGTGCTCTTACCTGGTAAGGAGACTTGGTGAAGACAGTCTCTTTCCAGAGGTCAGGAGTCAGGTAGCTGTAGGTTTTGGAGATGGCATCGAAGGTGGCTTTAGCTGCAGAGAGATGTCACACACTGTCACACGCTGCCCGGCACCGGCTGCACAACCAGCCCGCTGATCCAACCCACAGCTCCAGTGTACCCCAGTCACACAAATGTGGAATTTTGAAAGGACCAGGGAGACCAGGGAGGGTCTCTCTGAGGAACCCCCAAAGCTCAGCTTGCTCTCTCTCTCCAGTTACGACGATTACACCACGGCACACAAGTGCAATCGCGCAGATTGGGAGATTCGGGAGTGTCGGGGGTGCAGAGCCACCACAAACCAGAGCTGCTGCGCCCCACCGGTGACAGAAGTGACCCCAAGCCCCGTGCCAGCCCCAGAGCTCACCGAAGTTGCCGAGGGTGGCCGTGCAGCCCCGCGCCGACGTGTAGCAGTCATCGATGCCAGCCATCATCAGCAGCTTCTTGGGGACAGGGGCGGACACGATCCCGGTGCCGCGGGGGGCCGGGATCAGGCGCACCAGCACGGAGCCGCAGCGCCCGGTGACCTGCGGGGACACAGGGGGTCAGCCCCAGGGCACAGCCCCAAACACCCAGGGCTGAAAGGACACAACGGGTCAGCCCCAGAGCACAGCCCCAGGGCCAGGCTGGGGAATCGCTCACCTTGCAGGGCACCGTGTGTGGCTTCCCGATCTTGTTGCCCCAGTAGCCGCGTCGCACGGGCACGATGGACAGCTTGGCCAGGATGATGGCCCCGCGGATGGCCGTGGCCACCTCCTTGGAGCACTTCACCCCCAGCCCCACGTGGCCGTTGTAGTCGCCGATGGCGACGAAGGCCTGCAGGCAGAAGAATTTTCACTGCTCCATGCAGGATCTCACAGCTCACCCCAAACCTCACACACAGCTCTCAAAACCCGTTCTTCCCCTCAGAGTTCATCCTTCAGCCACAACCAGCCAACACCGGGATTCAATTCCCTGCTGCAGCCTCGCTCTGGGCAGAACTCCCCACGATTTTCCAACAGCATTCCCTACTTATACCCAAAACTTCTCCCTGGAAACCAAACGCTGCTGTGCAAGAAAAACTGGATTTTGCAGTGTCAGAAAAGTTTTCTTAAAAAGAAGTTTGAAAGTCTCACAGCCGAACTTTTGGGCTAGTGGTGCTTTAAGGAAAATCTGCACACTGACATTTAGATTTGGAGTGATGACAATGCCATTAGAAGTGCATTAGTGGCACTTTCAGAAAGGGAAGCTGCGAACAGGAGGATCCAGAAAAACGGGATTACCTTGAACCTGGTGCGCTGCCCAGCACGGGTCTGTTTCTGCACAGGCATAATCTTCAGCACCTCATCCTTCAGCGAGGAGCCCAGGAAGAAATCGATGATCTCCGACTCCTACAAGAGTCAGGCACTAAGCACACAGAAATCATGGAATCCTGGGATGGTTTGGGTTGACAGGGACCTCAAAGATCAGCTAATCCAACCCCCTCCCAAGGGCAGGGACACCTTCCACTGTGCCAGGCTACTCCAAGCCCCATCCAGCTTGAGCACTGCCAGGGATCCACGGCAGCCACAGCTTCTGCAGGAACCTATGCCAGGGCCTAATCACCTTCACAAGGAGCAATTCCTTCCCAATATCCCATCTGATCCTATCCCAAGTTCCTCTCCAGCTCTCCTGGAGCCCCTTTCGGCTCAGAGGTGCCCCCGGAGCCTTCCTTCCCCAGGTGAGCAACCCCTGCTCTCCCTACCTGCCTTGGAGCATCTCCCTGACCCTTCCCTTCCATATCCACAGCACCTCACCTTGATGGGAAGCGAGAAGAGATAAATCTCCTCAAGAGACTTGATCTTCATATCCTTGACCAGGCGGCCGAGTTTGGTGACAGGAATCCACTGGCAGAGAAACCCAGGGCCGAGAGTCACCAGGTGCCAGCAGCAGGCGGGACGCGGCTCTGCTGCCGCACGCCGGGGGCTGGCAGCGCCCCCGTCCCGGCTCCGCGCTCACCTCCTTATCCTCGGCTTTCCCTCCGCGGGCCCCGCGGCCTCTCCCGCGGCCCCTCCCGCGGCCGCGCCCGCGGCCCCGCAGCCCGGTCCCGAATCCACCGCGGAAGCCCCCGCGGGCCGCTCCCGCTCCTCCCGCAGCACCGGCGTCGTCCGCCATTTGCTGGAACAGAGCGGGACGTCAGGCGGGCCGCAGCGGGCGCGGATGGCGCCGGATGCGCCGCGCGGCGCCGCCGCTGCCGCCATACTTACGTGAGCCCTCAGCCTAGAAGGCCGCGCCGCGGCGCCGCGCGGTATTTATAGTGCGTGGGCATCTCGCGAGAGCAGCACCGGCCCTAAGAGCTGAATGATGAATACACCGCTGGGCGAAATGGACGGTTTGTGATGGATTATACAGAGCGCGGGGCGGCACGGCTCTCGGTATAAAGGGGCGCGCACGGGCGGAGCGCGCAGAGCGCGGCGGGGTGGCGAGAGGTGAGGCGCTCCTGCGCGGGCAAACGGGAGCGCACTGCCGCGTGTCCTTCCTTCCCTGAGCCTTCCTCCTTTGCAAAACCCTGCTGGGAAATGGTTACGGTGCTGCCCGAGCCGGAGCCCGCCCGCCTGGGGTGCAGAGAGCGTCCCGGGAAGGCGCTCCGTGGGCAGCGGTAGCGCCCGGCGCGGTCTGAAAATCATCCGGGGTCTGGCGTGGCCCCCGGTGAGATAACGGCGCCCACAGCATCGGGAGCATTAAAGCTTATTGCCCACGCCTGTGTGTGGGGAATGAAACCCGTGTTCCCACAAGCGCCGTGCCCGGCGGGGGCGGGCACCGAGGGGCTGTAGGCGCTGTTCCTCAGCTTTTTCTCTGCGCCAGGCGCCGTTCCTGAGAGCCGCGGGCCCGCCACGGCCATCCCTTCCCCGGAGGAGCGGTGAAGAGCACGGGGCTGCCGCCATGGACGGCGACGCGGGAGCCGCAGCTGGAAACGATTCGTTTTTATATTTTACTGTGCAATAAAAGATGAAACGTTTAAAAGATAAAGCGTCTGTCTTCTTTCTAATTGTTAAAGGTACTTTACGCTTGGGAGGGGTGGTTTTGCTGGAGAACGCTCCGGGTGGCGGAGAAGATGCAGCGCAGGAGCTGCTCGGGGCCGGGCTGCCGCCGCTTCCTCGGAAGAACGGGGAGCTTTTACCCGTTGAGGAACGGGGAGTTTTATCCCGTTGTAAACGGGGAACTTTTATCCCGTTCCGCGGAGCCGCGCTCGCGTCGCTGGCGGCGCCGGAAGTGCTCCCTCACTTCCCGGAAGTGCTGACCGGAAGCACGTGGGCCGTGGCCATGGCGGACACGGACCCGGCCGCCGCTGCCGTCCCGGTGCGCTTCAAGAGCAAGTGAGGAACCGGCGGGACTGGGCTGGGGCTGCGAGGGCGAGCGATGGGCCGGGCCGGGCCGTGCGACCGCAGCCCCCAGGCAGCCGCCGCTCCGCTTTAACGGGGCCTTGCCGCGCGTCTTTCCCTTCCAGCTACGCCGCGACGCGGAAGATCGAGCCGTTCTACAAAGGAGGGCGAATCCAGGTAATGCCGGCTCTGCAGGGACACCGGGGAAGGTCGCGCCTCCTGGCTCTAACGTTCCCGGTCCCTTTTCTCCAGATCAGCCGCGATGGGAAGTTCATGTTCTGCCCCTGCGGGAGCAAAGTCAACGTCGTCGATGTGGAGACGGGAGCGCTCCTGCACAGCCTCCAGCAGGTGACCGCGATCAGCCTCTCCTGAGCGTTTTGCGAGGCTCCAGGAGCGTTTTCTCAGTGTGGATGCAAAGCTCCCAGGAGTGAGGAGCGCAGGGAGGGTGGGACGGAGCCGAGCGCAGGTTTTCGGCGGTCCCCGAGCTGTGCTCGGTGTCAGCAGAGCCGCGCGGGGAAGGGAGCTCGGAGATCTCTCCAGGGATGGTTTAACCGTGGCATTTCCCTTCTGGTTTCCCAGGATGAGGAAGAGGATGTCACAGCATTTGTTCTCAGCCCTGATGACGAGGTGGGTTTGTGCTGGGGGCTTTGAGCAGCCTGGCTGAGCCAGGAATGGGAGGAATTTTGGGGAGTCTGTGCAGGGCCAGGGCTTGGGCTCGATGATCCTTGTGCATCCCTTCCAGCCAGGGATATTCCATGGTTCTGTTCCACACCTGGTGTGATTGCTGAGATCCCCGGGAGCCTTCTCAGGGGGTCAGACTGAGAGCTGTGGGTCAGAATCAGACCTGTGGGTCAGGCACAGGGACACGGGTCACGCTCAGAGTGTGGGTCAGACTCAGACTCTGAGCCGTGGGTCACACTCAGGGCCATGGGTCACAATCAGAGCCGTGGGTCACACTCACACATGGGTCACACTCACACTCAGAGCTGTGGGTCACATTCACATGTGGGTCACACACTCAGAGCTGTGGGTCATGCCCAGCACTGCCCAGAGCCTGAGCTCCCCCAGCTCCCCCCTGTGCCATGTGGGACCGACAGGGAGCCAGAGGCTGCCCC